AATATTTGATAATTATAATAGGTTGAAACCGTCAAACCTCCCAAACGACAATTTGATTACGAAATATTAAATTTGTCAATATGTTATACACGATTTGATTTTGATTTTTTTCTCAAATCATACCGAACTACACCGTGCAGAGTTGAGAGTTTTTCCTAGTCACTTGCACATAGTAGCGGAGCTAGAAAATTAAATTAGAGGGGACACTTATTAATTACAATATCGAAAAATTTTACAAAAATATTTCATGCAAGTTTTTACGAATGATTTCGAGAAATATCAAAAAAATAATGTTATTCATAACAAGTGTATCATGGACAATATAAAAAAAATATGGATATAACTCTTAAAATAAATTATAGGATAAATTACAAATACACCCCCTGAGGTTTGATTAAAATACGAATCGCCTCCTGTGATTTTGGAAATTACATTCCACCTGTTGAGGTTTCTAATTTCATAACAAATCGCTCATTTTATTAATGAATCAATAAGTCAATTAACAGTTTTTAATGATATTAGAAATATGTTTCAGTTAATAATTTAGGTAATTTTATTATTGTATATAAGAACAATTATGAATTTCATTTTTTTAGTTAATTCTGTTAAATAAAAAATACTAACAAAGAGGTATTTTTAATTTTCCAAATCACAAGGGCAAATTGTATTTTAAGCAAACCTCATGGGATGTATTTGTAATTTACCCTAAATTCTATAATGATGAATTATTTTTTTATACAAAATTTGATTAAAAATTTAATATAATGGTAATACCACGTCATCATTAATATGTGATATCACCAACTAATAGTAAATAAACACATGGAGAGTGGATCTAACATGTCAAATGTAACTAATAATCCAATAAATTTCATATTTTTATAGTGAAATTACATATACTTACATGTCAATAATAATGACATCACCATTACATTAAAAAATTTTCATTAAATTTTCGTAGATAATATGATTTATAGTAGTCTCTTCATTTTCAATCAAAATAACCATTGTTGTTTTCATAATTTTTAAAATGTCATTTGACATTTCACTTTAATCATATTTTTATAATTTTTTTTATTTAAAATATTTTTTTTATATTTGTAAAAAGAATAAAAAAATCCTAAAATCCAGGGGGCATATGCCTCCCCTGGTCCCCAAATGCCTCCGCCACTGCTTTGCACACATTGTTGTGCCTTTGACAGGATCAATGTTGCTTATCCACTGATTTTCTTAGAAGAGATGACAATGAACCCACACTTTGTGGGCTCAGCTTTGACTTAGTCCACCCCTTGCTTGCGCTTGGCCGTTCAATCAGCATTAGGGATGGTCACGGGTGGACTTTGGGCCGGATTTGTCATTTTTCGCTCCGCTTTTGCCGACAAATTCTACCTCTGCTCCCATCCCATCCTTATGGGTGAAATTTTTCAACCTCACCCCGACCCCCGCGAATACCCAACACTCACAAATATCCGACCACATTTTAAATAGTCAAAAAAAATTAAGAATCATTTAAATTCTTAACACATCCGCCAACACAATCGCTTGATAATTGGCTTGAATTTAATCTGTAAGGATTTTTCAATCCTTGCTGACACGCTCGCATTTATGATATTTTCCTTCGTAGGAAAAATAAGCCAACACATATATATAAACAGTGAGATTTTTAAGATTATTACTTATTTATTTATATATATTATTAATTACCGCCCCCACCGCGTTGTCGGTGACCAAAATATAATCCACTCCCGTCCCACATAAGTATCGGGACGGATAAAATCTGTCCCATTTAAATGGGTATGAGTGATCCCACAAAACGGATTTAAATGGTCATTCCTAATCAGTATACTTGTCTGGACGCTTGACCGAATGCATTGTTTGGTCATTTGGCTGCGCTGAATAACATTCCATAAATGCCCTCCAACTCCGACTTGCCATTTGTTTCCAAGCAACTATTGTAGTTTTTGTGATGGGTCATATCTAATTATTCGAGCCTTTATTTGCAGTTCAAATGTTATAACCGAGCATCCAAGCGTTTGCTTGGACTTCAAATGTTTTTAAGTCGTTTGAAGATACCTCTTTAATATTTTCCCTTTCAAGTGATGCCTTTTTAACTGCCTCATCACGCGGCAACACACCATTGGCTTGCAACTGTCACTTTCCCTAAAATGATCCATCCCATCAATTGAGCTGCCAAAATATGACTTTGAATAATGTTATATTTGTGTACTAACTAGTATATCAATTGATGATGTATCATAATTTAGGATTTTTAGTATTTGTAATGTAATTAATGAGTAGAGTTAATAATAATATTATAACTGGTGTTGGTATACTAGTTAGTATACTAATTAATGCATGTAGCACTACCGTTTGACTTCTAGTTCTTTACTTCTTTGACATTCCATTGTATTTATGCCTAGCAACTGCAGCGTAGAATTGCCTTCCACAGCGAAAAAGAGAAAAAGTTGAAGAAAAAAAAATAGAGTTTGAACTCTGAACATGAAGAGGTGTTCGTAAACTTGGCACTAGTAGCCCAAAAAAAAAAAAAAAAAAAGATTTGAATTCTAAACATGAAGAAGCGTTCATAAACTTGGCACTACCCATGTCTAACCTTAACGGAGAGTGACAGTACCAATTACTATGTTTGGAATGAAAATAATACTAGTTGTGAAGCTGCAAACCAAAGTGAGGAACTGAGATTCTCTCTAATAATTATTTTCACAATAATCTTGCAATAGCAATTTAGGTAGGTGGCTTAAGTACAAAACATAGTCAATGGTGTTTAAATAGATGGTTTAACATGGATAATATAAGAATTAGTCAAAATGCGCACAAGCTGGAATAGGGGCGACCCAATCCTTGTAGGGACTTAAGGTAAAATTTCAACATGACACTTTTTGACATTTAAATATTATTTTTCATCTAAAATTAATTTTCTTTCTTTCTTTTTTTTTTTACATGCAAAATTACTAATTAAATTTTCATTATCAAATTTTTCTGACATATCTTTTTCAATTGATAAAATTGGTAATCCACTTATATTTTTTGTGATATAATCAACGTTAAAATAGAAATTTTTTAAATTTTAATTTTGAAAAACTTTTTTTTGTCAAAAAAATAGTTACAACTATGGTTAATAATATTTTGTAACAATTCTCCTATTTATAAAATAAAAAAATAAAAATTGTAATTCAAAAACATATAAATTATAAATACAATGAAATTGTCATGCTTTAAAAACTCTATAAGATTAATGTATTGTACAAATTGCCATCCTCTAGTGATTTCAAGTTTTCAAAACCAAATTAAAAATTAAAAGAATAAACAGGGAAGAGACTAGAGATTTTCAAGACAAATATTTCAAAAACATGAGTAATACTATATACCTTGAATTATTATTGAGAATTTTAACCAAAAATATCAATGTGTGATCTAATTCATTTTATGTGTGACTCTCACAATTTACTAATTCAATCTCAACCACACCTTTACATATTCTAAGTTTTTTGATAGAATTTCTAGATAACTAGTTTTGTTGGAACAAATATAAACGTTGTCCTACGAGAATTGTTAAAGAAACTTGAGATGACTGTACCAATATTTACAAAATATGTACGGTAAAGAATGCACAATCTTTTTTAATTTTCTTACTCAATATTAAAATACTCATTAATAAAATCTAAAAATATATAGACATTACAAAAAAAATAAATTGCGCCTCTTCAATTTATGGCAATGGTTAATACTTGGGCCAACGTTTAGCTACAGTAAAAAAATATTTTTGAAAGGTATAGGAATTCTAAAATAGCATCATAGTTTTCAAATAGTCACATAATGAATTGTACAAACGGGCCCTGATACAGGAAAGCGTATCGAAAGGAAGAGCAAATAATAAAATTAAACCACAAATAAATCCGAATTAAAAATACTCTTTTTACAAACGAATAATATTGAGAAAACTCTCTATTTTTATCAATCAAATATCAACTATATTGTCTTAAGACTTACATCTTTATTTATACTAAAATAATTCTTACTAATCAAGAAATCCAAAAAAGGAAAAGAAATATTCTTGCTAGTCAAGAATATTTTAACAGGAAAATACAATATTAAGAAATAAAAATAATTCTTCTGATCAAATAATCCAATTCTTGTAAAATAAGAAAATAAACGAAGTAGGCAACTTAAATAAATAAAAAAATTAAAAGATCCTAGTCTAAAAAAATAAAATATATAGTTTTTAAATTTTAATCTGTATCAACTGATGCAGGGAAGCATATCGAAAAGAAGAGCAAACAACAAGATCAAACCACGAACAAATCCGAACTAGAAATACTCTCTCCACGAACGAATAATATTGAGAAAACTCTCTATTTTTATTAATCAAATATCAACCGTATTGTCCCAAGGCTTACATCTTTATTTATGCTAAAATAATTCTTGCTAATCAAGAAGTCTAAAAAAGAAAAAGATATATTCTTGCTAGTCAAGAATATTTTAAAAGGAAAATACAATATTAAAATAAAAATAATTCTTGTGATCAAACAATCCCATTCTTGTAAAATAAGAAAATAAATGAAGTAGGAAACTTAAACAAATAAAAAAATTAAAAGATCATAGTCTTAAGTAATAATCCTAATCAAATACTAAAATAATAAAATAAAATATATATATATATTTCTTATTTTAGCTAGTAAAAAATAAAGAGAATGATTGGAGTTGCTCTAAACAATATCCAAAATAACCCTTAATCATATGATTTAGTGGACGTAGGTTATGTTAGCTAAACTAAGTTAAACTTGACAATTTTTCATGGTGATGATTTTTTTAGTTCTATATTTTTGCCTACATTTATTTTTTGATAATAATTACGTCAATAAAATAATAATAATAATACAGCACCCTCTATATCTACACAATTTTTATAGTTTAAATTCACACTATTGAAATTTTTATCGGTAAAAGTCTCATTTGAGCAAATTAAGACGGAAAAAATGATATGAATGAATCATTAATCATAATAATAATAACAATACCTCGTGAATTGAGTGAGTGGTCCCCTCGTAAGTGAGAGCAGCATCTAAAGCGGTAAAGCCTTCGCCATTCTTTATCTCTAACCTAACTCTCTTGTCCCATGTCAAAATGCTCACTATCTCAGCACGAGCATTCTTTGTGGCCAAAAGCAATGGGGTGTTTCCATCTTCGTCTGTGTCATTGATAAGCATCTCAAGCTCAGGGGCCTTAAGCATATAACTAACAATGTTGGCTTTTCCACTCTTAGCAGCAACGTGAAGAATATTTTGCCCTTCTTTGTTTAGCAACTCTCTTGAATCTGGAAAACGTCGTAGAAACTCCTTAACAACTTCAATATGGCCTTGGCTCGATGCCTCATGAATGGGATAAGACCCATCACCATCTCTTTTGTATGTGTAATCAACAAATGTGTCCAGGATGTAGCAAACCCCATCAACATAACCTATGGATGCTGCATACGAAAGAGGTTTCCTCCCTCTTCTGTCAGGTGCATCTATAAGAGATGACACATACTTCAATGCTGTCTCAAGAATAACTGAGTAACATGCAATCATAAATCAACAGCTATGTTATATATCATCATTTTCATTATTTTTTTTATTTTTGGGCAAAATCGGTTTTTACTGATTTACGCGAGGTGTACTTTACCTCCTATCATTTAAAAATAATCAATTATCTTCTTTGTAGTTTGATACCTTTGTGGTTTGATTTGAGACTAAAGTGCAACTGTTATCTTTTCTAGCCAAACTAACAGAATTTATGATACACTTGCCATGTTCCATAGTAGGTCTATTTTTCTTTTTAAATTAAGATAAAATTAAAATATAAAAAGACAATTATACCCTTCTCTTCAGCTTCAATCACCAAACCCATATTTCATCTTCAATCACCAAACTCAAAAAGATCAGTGATCCATTTCTAGATTTTCTCTAGAAAATCCTTGGTAGCATTTGGTAGAGTTTTAGAATTTAAGTTTGTGAGTTTTGGAATGATTTGAGTGTGAAAAATTTGTTTGGTTATAACTTTTGAAAAGAGTTTCAAATTGAGTTTGAAATGAATGATGTGATATATGATATTTGATTCAAAAATTTACAACTTATAACCCAACACACAACCTAAAATTCTATTCAAAGCTCATAAAAAAATTTTAAAAATATTAAAAAAAAAAAAAAAATAAAAAAAAAAAAAAAAAAAAAAAAAAAAAAAAAAAAAAAAAAAACCAAACACTGTTTCGATGAATCGGCCGGACGTCCGGGGGGATGACCGGATAGATGTGTTTTAAAGAGGGTGTGTGTAGACACCTCATTTTTTACCGCCCTTAAGATTTGGACGCCTCAGGTTGATCACTCGATGATGAAAGTTACATTGTACAAACATTCGATTTCTTCAGCAAGAAGAGCTTCAAATCCTAACCTTACCCCCCATTTTGACCAAAACTATTTTAGACCTTAAAACCCTCTTTGTCAAAATATTTTTTAAAATATTTCTACGATGTTCTGAGACTCGCATTTCGTTAAATGTTGCACTTTTCGGTAAACGAGCAAGGACAAAGTGGAAATAAATGGAATGGAGATGAACTCTTTGAAAAATCTTTGAAACTTCTTATTTATAGGTTTGAAGTTGAAGAAAATTGGAGAAGAGGGAAGAAAACTAGTTAGGGAGTGTAGACACCCCATTTTTGACCGCCCTTAAGACTTGTGCGTTACTGATGGTTTACTTGGTGGAGAAAGGTGTGCAGGGCTATGGTTTAGTTTCTTCAGCAAGGAGAGAGACAAATCTCAACTTCACACCCCATTTTGGACCAAAACTATTTTGAATGGTTTTTAGACCTTAAAACCCTCTCTTTCAAAACATTTTTTTGAAATAAAGTTTCTACGATGCTCCGACGCTCGCATTTCGGTAAATGTTGTGCTTTTCGGTAAACCGAGCAAGGACAAAGTGGAGATGAATGAAAGAGAGATGAAATCTTTGAAAAATCTTTCAAAACACTTTGTTTTGGGGTTTAGAGTTGAAGAAAAGAGGAGAAGAGAGAAGAAACCTAGCTGGGGAAGAAGTTGGGTATGAATCACTAAGAGAGAGTCGAGTGGTCCTCGTTAAATCAGGCTTATCTATCTATGCACTTGGAGTTAAGCTATGAGTCCACCACCGTTGGAAAGAAGACTTCTGGAGCTTCATTTTTCACTCAAGAATCTCCTAAAGCTGAGTCCGGATGGGGGAGATATGATTGGTTGAAGTTGGGCATCATCCCGGTTGGACCGAAACTGAGCAACCTTTACCAAAACAAGCATAACTTTTTGCACAGTTGGAATTTTGATGCGAGGTTGGAGCCATTGGAAAGATAACTACCGGGGCTTCAATGTGGCCACATGGAAAACCAGCAAATCAGATGGCCGACCAGCTTTTTTTGGTCAAAAGTGGGTCAGCATGAATCTGGAAGGAGAGAAAACATCTGCTTAGCTTCACCAAACGAGCATAACTTTTTTCATAGTTGAAATTTTAATGCAAGGTTTGCGCCATTGGAAATCTAACTTCTGGGGCTTCAATTTGGACACAAGAATGACCTGAAAAGGGGTTCACATGAAGGAGTTATGTCCGTTTGAAGTTGGACCTTCAGAGCAGTTTTTTTTTTCTTGCCACCGGCCTTTGGTGGTCGGTCTTGGTGGTCGGTCGGCACCTTTGGTGGTCGGCCTTGGTGATCGGTCGGCACGGTCGGTCGGCCATCAATTTTTTTTTTTTTTTTTTTTTCGGCTGAAGCTTCTCCAAGAAGCTTGAACCCTTTGTTTTAGCTTCTTGAGGAAGCTTGAACCTTTTGTTTTAGCTTCTTGAGAAAGCTTGAATCTTTTGCTCTAGCTTCTCCAAGAAGCTTGACCCTTTTGCTTAAGCTTCTTTGAAAAGCTTTGACCTTTTCTTGAGGCTTCTCCAAGAAGCCTTGGCCCTTGGTCTTCTATAAAACAAACCATCCTCTCCATTTGCAAGGGTTAGAAAAACCAGCTGGAGCATTTGCATACAAATCCTCCATATCTCCTCCATCCAAGCTCCAAAACACCCTTGACCTTGCACCATTTGCACTACAACCCATAGCACAACACTTCCATCACTCATTCCAGCACCTTGGAGGACATTTGGAGAGGTTGAAGGCTCAGAAATTTGGACCAAAAGCTGCTGGAAAGTTGGTCTTCAAGGGTAAGTCTCTTTTCCCCTCAAACTTGAGTTTTTTTTTTGCTTCATTTATAAGCCATACTTGCAAGCATTTATGGGCTCCGACCCAAACTGTAAAGTGACTTGTTTTGAGCCCCTCTTCAACTTTGTTGAAGGGATCCTCTCTGTTTGAGGCCATATACTACCTCTTGTCTCCTATTTCTCTTCGTAGGGCCATTTTTGCATGCTATTTTAGCCCTACTTGTGATCATTTTCGAGACTTTCTATAAACTGTGAAGTGCCTTTTTTTGAGCCCCTCTTCAACTTTGTTGAAGGGTTCTTTCCTGTTCGAGGCCATCTGCTGCCCCTTGTCTTTAATCTCTCTTTTAGGGCTGTTTTTGCATGACATATTAGCCTTATTTGTGAGCTGTTTTGGACCTCGACCTAAACTGAAAAAAATCTTGTTTTGACCTGTTCTTCAAGTTTGTTTCAGGTTCCATTTCTGTTTGGAGTCATCTCCTTCTTTGCATGCCTTATTTCTCCATGCTTTGAGCCATACATGTGAGCATTTGCATTGGCCTCTTAGCCACTGAAATCCAGTGGATTTTCAGTGGCTTAGGTGCATTCTTGAAGGCCAAAATCAAAGGGGGGTGACCCCTTATCTCCTTATCTTGTTTGGTGGTCTTTTGGGCCTTCCAAAGAGACCCCTATTTTGCATGCATTGAGGTCACTTTCCAGGCCTCATTCTGAGGGTTTTGAGGTCTGCCTTGGCTCTGTCCAAGGCCCTTTTGGCCATATTTTATGTCTACAATGCATGTGTAGAGCAATCCCATTCAGGGCCTTTCAAAGGGGCCTTTCTTTGCATGATTCCGAGACTGATTTCAGGGCTTTTCAATGGATTTTAGGACCCTCATATTCCATTTCCAGAGTTCAAGAACGAAGATGCAGAATTGAAAAGGCGGAGAGAGAGTTGATTTTGATTAAACGCATGAAATGGCAGCAAAATGGAAATTATGGTGCCTTGGACGATGTGTTTGTTAGACGGCGCACGCAAAAGTGATGCGACTTGATGGCGTGTATTAGGTACGGTCTAGTAGGGGAAAGATGCGTGGTAAAAAACGGTTGAAACACTGTGCGTGCCAGCTCATACGCGTGCTGGAACTCTTGGAGTTCTTGATTCAATGAAGCAAATACCTCGGCTAGGAGGACGGTTTTGGCCGAGAAACTTGAATGAACTTGGTTGTTGGTTCCAAAGTATTGATGAACGCAAACTATAGGTCTTGGTCATATTGAACCGACGAGTGGTGACCTCGGTAAAGAATAATGGAGTGAGCTTAGTCGATGTGCTAAATGGAAGAAATGATATAGGTTCTATCACCTCAGGATATCGAGGTAATAGAACCTAGGGGGCAGTTGTGGGGACATAAATTTTGAATGACGACACGTGGTCGAGGTGTCACCGAAGTGCTAGCCGGGGTGCCACGTGTCCTGGTTATGATGCTGAGATGATCTCGGCTAGGCTGAGGTTATCTGCGAGAATACCGGAATCCGGAATAAGCGGATAAGGGACAAGAGTCCTAGAATGGGAGAAGACTTCAGTTTGGGTAAAGATAAGACTCTTAGAGAGTTTATCATAATCCTACTGGGAATCCAAGATTAACAGTAATCCTAAGTCCATTAGAGCTAGGCTTCTATTGGGACTAGGATTGTGTTGGCTATAAAAGGGAGGCACCCCCATGGGTCTAAGATATGTTTTTTATGCTCTGTCTAGTGAGTTAAGTATTATTGGTTATCTTTGAGAGATATTTTACTGACTTGATCGTCGGAGTGCCTCCGGGTGGACGAACCACCGCGGGATTCTTATCTTTCTGTGACAGGTTGTTTGGGCTTAATCTATTTTGTCGGTGCTCTCTAACTGAGTTCCCTTTTTTGGTTGTGTGGTCAAAAATCAACACCCATAGAAACCATTTGGGGGAGTCAAAAAATTATATACAATTCCTAGAGAAAAAGTCTTAACAATTGTAGACAAAGGCCAGGGGCCGAATCAAAAAGTGAGTTTTCAGATTTATGTGGAAATTTTTTGGAACAATGTGAGATATGAATTCATTTGGACTGAAATTTTTAGCTCTTGTTTTTCTTAAAAACATATTTGGCAGTTTTTAATATAGATATATGTATATCTGCATGTTGAATATCAGCAGAAAAATGACAGAAGAAAACCTATGATGGTAACAACTGATTTGGAATGAAAATTTTAGTAAAATTCAAGAGAATCAACCAAGTAGAGAGATGGTGATATTGAAAAAATTATGAGCCTATGAAAGTCATATAGCTTCAACCTCCAGAGGTGTATCGATTATTAAGATGTCATCATAAGCTTGTCCTAATTGCGTCATTTGAGCAGGTGGGTGCCTTTCGGATCCATCACATGTCTTTTTTTAATAATTTAAATTGTTTACATTGTCAAATTTTTTATGCGTATTATTTATAAAAAAATTAAGTCGATCAAATAATCGTCGCCTATTCAATTTATTACATTTGTCTCTTAAAAAAATAGATGATAAATGTGTTTTTAAAAAATAAATCATTCATTTTTTAATGACAAATACAATAAATTGAATATATTACAAATAATGGATCGATCAAATTATTTTTATAGATAATATATATAAAAAAATCTTATAAAATAAATCATTCGAATTATCAAAATATAACTAATGGTAAGGTCATTGACC